TTAAAACTCGTTTTTCAACCACTCCACAAATTTCTTGTTAACAAACTATAGTTTTGGCAAGTCGGTTAGGACATCTACTTTGTGCATGACACAAGTCATTTTTCCAACAATTGTTTACAGACAGATTATTTCACTTATAATTCACTGTATCAAAATTCCAGTGGGTCAGAAGTTTACATACACTAAGTTGACTGTGCCTTTAAACAGCTTGGAAAATTCCAGAAAATGATGTCATGGCTTTAGAAGCTTCTGACAAGCTAATTGACATCATTTGAGTCAATTGGAGGTGTACCTGTGGATGTATTTCAAGGCCTACCTTCAAACTCAGTGCCTCTTTGCTTGACATCATGGGAAAATCAAAAGAAATCAGCCAAGACCTCAGAAAAAAATTGTAGACCTCCACAAGTCTGGTTCATCCTTGGGAGCAATTTCCAAACGCCTGAAGGTACTACACTCATCTGTACAAACAATAGTATGCAAGTATAAACACCATGGGACCACGCAGCCGTCATACCGCTCAGGAAGGAGACACGTTCTGTCTCCTAGAGATGAACGTACTTTGGTGTGAAAAATGCAAATCAATCCCAGAACAACAGCAAAGAACCTTGTGAAGTTGCTGGAGGAAACAGGTACAAAAGTATCTATATCCACAGTAAAACGAGTCCTATATCGACATAACCTGAAAGGCCACTCAGCAAGGAAGAAGCCACTGCTCCAAAACCGCCATAAAAAAGCCAGACTATGGTTTGCAACTGCACATAGGGACAAATATCTTACTTTTTGGAGAAATATCCTCTGGTCTGATGAAACAAAAATAGAACTGTTTGGCCATAATGACCATCATTATGTTTGGAGGAAAAAGGGGGTTGCTTGCAAGCCGAAGAACACCATCCTAACCGTGAAGCACGGGGGTGGCAGCATCATGCTGTGGGGGTGCTTTGCTGCAGGAGGGACTGGTGCACTTCACAAAATAGATGGCATCATGAGGAAGGAAAATTATGTGGATATATTGAAGCAACATCTCAAGACGTCGGTCAGGAAGTTAAAGCTTGGTCGCAAATGGGTCTTCCAAATGGACAATGACCCCAAGCATACTTCCAAAGTTGTGGCAAAATGGCTTAAGGACAACAAAGTCAAGGTATTGGTGTGGCCATCACAAAGCCCTGACCTCAATCCTATAGAAAATGTGTGGGCAGAACTGAAAAAGCGTGTGCGAGCAAGGAGGCCTACAAACCTGACTCAGTTACACCAGCTTTGTCAGGAGGAATGGGCCAAAATTCACCCAACTTATTGTGGGAAGCTTGTGGAATGCTACCCGAAACGTTTGACCCAAGTTAAACAATTTAAAGGCAATGCTACCAAATACTAATTGAGTGTATGTAAACTTCTGACCCACTGGGAATGTGATGAAATAAATAAAAGCTTAAATAAATCATTCTCTCTACTATTATTCTGACATTTCACATTCTTAAAATAAAGTGGTGATCCTAACTGACCTAAGTCCGGGAATCTTTACTAGGATTAAATGTCAGGAATTGTGAAAAACTTAGTTTAAATGTATTTGGCTAAGGTGTATGTAAACTTCCGACTTCAACTGTATCTGATAATTGGCAAGAATGTTTTATGCTGCAGTAGTGGGAAATGATTTCATGATACCATAACATGCTGCCACATATATTCAACAAGACACAAAGGGTCTCTGATACACATAAGGCATTACCGCCTAAGACTAGTAACAGCCATGGTTTTTAGGATCATGTTCGATCTCTATTGGCATACATGCAAGAGGTGTGTTTTTGTTATAGTTGTGCCACCAGTTGTTCCAGATATTTGGCATGCAGGGAAATGATGGTATGATGTGGAAGGCCATAGGGACATGGAGGAGAGGATGAGCAGAACTTCAGTGTCACAGGGAAAAACTGAGGCACCAGCTGAACTTGAAGGTGACTTCTTAGTCACTCAGAAGCGAACACAGCCACTAGTTTCTTCTGGGCTGTCATAGCCGATTCCTTCACACAGGGAGTCCTTTAAACAGAAACAGACATGATTAATATTCTCGGTTGTTTGTTCTATCCCTGTCTTAACATGAGTCTAAACACTCTGACCAATTATTGTCTTGAAGGCAAAGAAGACAGGTCTTATATTACTACTAGTGTTTTGCCTCAGCGAGACCAATGAAAAGAAACTTCTCATGATACACCATCATCATTATAAAACAAAGAGGGAACAAAATGATTAGTACTATTAGTAGTGAAGTGTATGTACAGTGAGGGAAAAAAGTATTTGATCCCCTGCTGATTTTGTACGTTTGCCCACTGACAAAGACATGATCAGTCAATAATTTTAATGGTAGGTTTATTTGAACAGTGAGAGACAGAATAACAACAACAAAATCCAGAAAAACAATGTCAAAAATGTTATAAATTGATTTGCATTTTAATGAGGGAAATAAGTATTTGACCCCTCTGCAAAACACGACTTAGTACTTGGTGGCAAAACCCTTGTTGGCAATCACAGAGGTCAGACGTTTCTTGTAGTTGGCCACCAGGTTTGCACACATCTCAGGAGGGATTTTGTCCCACTCCCATTTGAAGATCTTCTCCAAGTCATTAAGGTTTCGAGGCTGACGTTTGGCAACTCGAACCTTCAGCTCCCTCCACAGAGTTTCTATGGGATTAAGGTCTGGAGACTGGCTAGGCCACTCCAGGACCTTAATGTGCTTCTTCTTGAGCCACTCCTTTGTTGCCTTAGCCGTGTGTTTTTGGGTCATTGTCATGCTGGAATACCCATCCGCGACCCATTTTCAATGCCCTGGCTGAGGTAAGGAGGTTTTCACCCAAGATTTGACTGTACATGGCCCTGTCCATCGTCCCTTTGATGCGGTGAAGTCGTCCTGTCCCCTTAGCAGAAAAACACCCCCAAAGCATAATGTTTCCACTTCCATGTTTGACGGTGGGGATGGTGTTCTTGGGGTCATAGGCAGCATTCCTCCTCCTCCAAACACGGCATGTTGAGTTGATGCCAAAGAGCTCGATTTTGGTCTCATCTGACCACAACACTTTCACCCAGTTCTCCTCTGAATCATTCAGATGTTCATTGGCAAACTTCAGACGGCCCTGTATATGTGCTTTCTTGAGCAGGGGGACCTTGCGGGCGCTGCAGGATTTCAGTCCTTCACGGTGTAGTGTGTTACCAATTGTTTTCTTGGTGACTATGGTCCCAGCTACCTTGAGATCATTGACAAGATCCTCCTGTGTAGTTCTGGGCTGATTCATCACCGTTCTCATGATCACTGCAACTCCACGAGGTGAGATCTTGCATGGAGCCCCAGGCCGAGGGAGATTGACAGTTCTTTTGTGTTTCTTCCATTTGCGAATAATCGCACCAACTGTTGTCACCTTCTCACCAAGCTGCTTGGCGATAGCCCATTCCAGTCTTGTGTAGGTCTACAATCTTGTCCCTGACATCCTTGGAGAGCTCTTTGGTCTTGGTCATGGTGGAGAGTTTGGAATCTGATTGATTGATCGCTTCTGTGGACAGGTGTCTTTTATACAGGTAACAAGCTGAGATTAGGAGCACTCCCTTTAAGAGTGTGCTCCTAATCTCAGCTCGTTACCTGTATAAAAGACACCTGGGAGCCAGAAATCTTTCTGATTGAGAGGGGGTCAAATACTTATTTCCCTCATTAAAATGTTTTTCTGGATTTTTTTGTTGTTATTCTGTCTCTCACTGTTCAAATAAACCTATCATTAAAATTATAGACTGATCATTTCTTTGTCAGTGGTCTAAGGCACTGCATCGCAGTGCTAGCTGTGCCACTAGAGATCCTGGTTCGAATCCAGGCTCTTTTGTAGCCGGCCGCGACCGGGAGACCCATGGGGCGGCGCACAATTGGCCCAGCGTCGTCCAGGGTAGGGGGGGGGGATGGCCGGCAGGGGATGTAGCTCAGTTGGTAGAGCATGGCGTTTGCAACGCCAGGGTTGTGGGTTCGATAAAATAATGTATGCGCTAACTGTAAGTCGCTCTGGATAAGAGCGTCTGCTAAATGACTAAAATGTAAATGTAAATGACAAACGTACAAAATCAGCAGGGGATCAAATAGTTTTTTCCCTCACTGTACATGAACTGAAATTGATACAGCATCATACTGTATGATGATATTGGTTAAAGATGCTATACATAACCCATTGTCTTATTGAGATAACATCTCATGTGAAGAAGTGAAAACATACACTAAATTGGAGGAGTTCTGCGGGAATTTATCTTAAATACTCACAGACAACAGCTTCCTATCCGAGGCTGTGACAACACAGACAGGGAGGGAGGGAGAAAAGGAAGAGACAGAAAGAGATAGAAATGGGGAGACTAGCTGAAGCACTGAACTCACAACAAAGCAAAGCGAACCAACACACTCGCATCACAACAGCAACTTTGAATATGCATCTCAAGACATCAACATTTCTATATTTACGACCCTTGTATGGCATTGATCTCTGACACTAAGTGTTGTTCAGTGCATGTTTCTCCTAAGATCACCATATGACTAATGTATAACACCTGGTTACTGGAAGACTTTTAAACTGTGTATCATCTGGAATGGTACTTAAGTGATCTATTCATAAGATGTAAATTAGTAAAAGAGGTTAGTGGTGCAGTTTATTTAGGACAGGCATAGTGCTGTGCATATTCAAGATGGAGACACACAGCCCATGATGAAAAGGGGAGGCCATGTAAGACAAACAGCTGATGTTGGGGGAGAGACAGACAAATTATAAAGAGGGGAAGCCACCAACAAGACCACAACATGCCAGGGAGACATCCACTCTGTTTTTATCACAGAGTCTGAATTATCAAGGGGATTTCAGGGTGAAGTGAGGGGATGCTAAGGATAAAGAGGGGATTGGCTTGGGGTGGGGGTGGCAGGTGGGAGGAGGGAGGGGACTGAGTTGAATTAAGAGTGATTAATTAAGAGGGAGCCATCAATTTCTGACACTAACTTGGCTTTGCTGCAGCACCCCCTCTGGCATCTCGGGGAACTGCAGGGCCGATGGGGTGGGGCGTTGGGGGAGCCAGGGCCGGTTGCCGGCACTGTAGAGCCTGGGCCGCTTGAACTGGTCGTGACTGGACAGGGGGGTATAACTATTCCGCCGGAGGATGGGAGCTGGGTCCCTCGGGACCTTATCCTGGTTGGAGATGGGTAAACACCAGGTGCATTAAAGAAAGAGACCTGGGCGCACACAGTGTTACTGGGCCGATTCCCCAAAACACAGCAATCAAACAATCGTTCTGCTTGACCAACCACTACAATAGGACGTTTGCTATGTGATATGAAAAAGGTGATTCTGCATAGTAAAAAAAAAATGCACTAACAGATTCCACTTAATTCTGCTCCTCTCAAATATATTGTCTATTGCATCTCACTAATAGCTTAGACACACCGGTAGGATTGTGAAACGTTTGCCTGCCGACTACTTAGCACTTCTGAACAGAGTGTCGGCAGTCTCTCCCTTTTGTGTTCACACAGCAAAGACCTTGAAGTAGTCAGCCACTCAGCCTTGTTAAAATACTTCAAACCAGAAGGTGGCAGTAGCGTTATTTGGAAATGCATGTCCGTGTGTGTTGTTTTATGGTCTACAGTCACGACCAGTTCAAGCGGCCCAATGTTAGCTAGCTATCCAGCTAGCTGCGGTAATGTTTTTTCATTTTCTTTGTAAACATTTTTTTTTAATATTTTTATTTTTTTTGGGGGGGGGGGGTAGATCAGCTTAATATTGCAGATAGATTGTAACTTCCATCAATGTAATTGTCTGCATCACTTCCAATCCCCCATGTTTTTTATATATATACTCCCCTTTATTACTTTTCAACCCCCCCATCCTTTCCCTACTTGGGGTAAATTAGTGAACAACAATGCTTAGGCCTCTACTTCCAGCTTATACTTACTATCTACATTTTATGGACACAGTCAATTTTACAATAATTATATTTTATTTGTTTTTGCTCCTGAACTTCTTCTACTCTCAACCTCTCCGATCATTTTTCATGATGTCCATCCGGTTTGCTTCTATATGCCATATCTTTCTAACTGTGCTCTTTCCCAAAAGCTTCCAACATACAACCTATATACTTATTATGGACACAGTATGCTTACATTATTAGTTATCTTGTTATTATTTGTTATTAGTCCCATCCTTCAACTCCATTCAACACCTCCCATCTATCTCTTAACACCATCCATATAGGATTTCTATTTGCAATATACATTTCAACTGTACTGTGATGTTTTACAAAAGTTCTGAACCTTTCTATTCTCATTGCTTCTACAGATTGTGAATTAAAAATAAACATTTTTGCTAAAAGTATTATTATCTTATTGATCGATTGACTATGACTTTTCAGATCACCCAGTAATGCTATCTGCAAGGTTAGCTCCAAGTAAATATTGCAATCCTTTAGCAATTCCTGGACCTGTGTCCAAAACAAGCTACAAATGGACAGAACCAAAACAAATGATCTAATGATTCTGTCTCTTCACAGCAAAATCTGCAGAGCTAGGAAGATTGTATCCCCCATATAAATAACATTCTATTGGTAGCAAGAATTTTATATAATCATTTAAATTGAAAGATTCAAATTTTTGAATGTTACTATTGTTGTAGAAAGCCCTTGTTGATATAGCCAGATGGCCACAGCTAGATAACTAACTAGCAAGATGACAAATAAACAATTTAATTCACTCTCCAAGATCGCTACAGCCCATAGATACATTTTTTGCTAGCTGGCTAACATTATGGTTATCATGATTCGCTAGCTAGCTAGATGTTGTGCTAGCTAGGTAAAGTTAAGACACTGCATTGACTCTCGGCAGCCAGCTACAGGCAGCTGCTTCATGGAAACTAATCAATTGTGATTTAATTACAGTACCAGTCAAAAGTTTGGACACACCTACTCATAATTGTACTATTTTCTACATTGTAGAATAATAGTGAAGACATAAAAACTATGAAATAACACATATGGAATCATGTAGTAACCAAAAAAGTGTTAAACAAATCAAAATACATTTTATATTTGAGATTCTTCAAAAAGCCACCCTTTGCCTTGATGACAGCTTTGCACACTCTTCGCATTCTCTCAACCAGCTTTATGAGGAAGTCACCTGGAATGCATTTCAATTAACAGGTGTTCTTAAAAGTTAATTTGTGGAATTTATTTCCTTCTTAATGCGTTTGAGCCAATCAGTTGTGTTGTGACAAGGTATACAGAAGATAGCTCTATTTGATAAAAGACCAAGTCCATTTTATGGCTAGAACAGCTCAAATAAGCAAAGAGAAATGACAGTCCATCATTACTTTAAGACATGAAGGTCAGTCAATACGGAACATTTCAAGAACTTGAAAGTTTCTTCAAGTGCAGTCGCAAAAACCATCAAGCGCTATGATGAAACTGGCTCTCATGAGGACCGCCACAGGAATGGAAGACCCAGAGTTACCTCTGCTGCAGAGAATAAGTTCATTAGAGTTACCAGCCTCAGAAATTGCAGCCCAAATAAATGCTTCACAGACTTCAAGTAACAGACACATCTCAACATCAACTGTTCAGAGGGGACTGTGTGAATCAGGCCTTCATGGTCGAATTGCTGCAAAGAAACCACTACTAAAGGACACCAATATGAAGAAGAGACCTGCTTGGGCCAAGAAACACAAGCAATGGACATTAGACCGGTGGAAATTTGTCAATTGGTCTGGAGTCCAAATTTTGGTTCCAACCGCCGTGTCTTTGTGAGATGCGGTGTGGATGAACGGATGATCTCTGCATGTGTATTTCCCACCATAAAGCATGGAGGAGGAGGTGTTATGGTGTGGGGGTGCTTTGCTGGTGACACTGTCTGTGATTTATTTAGAATTCAAGGCACACTTAACCAGCATGGCTACCACATCATTCTGCAGCAATATGCCATCCCATCTGGTTTGGGTTTAGTGGGATAATCATTTGTTTTTCAACAGGACAATGACCCAACACACCTCCAGGCTGTGTACGGGATATTTTGCCAAGATGGAGAGTGATGGAGTGCTGCATCAGATGACCTGGCTTCCACAATCCCCCGACCTCAACCCAATTGAGATGGTTTGGGAGGAGTCGGACGGCAGAGTGAAGGGAAAGCAGTCAACAAGTGCTCAGCATATGTGGGAACTCCTTCAAGACTGTTGGAAAAGCATTCCAGGTGAAGCTGGTTGAGAGAATGCCAAGATTGTGCAAAGCTGTCATCAAGGCAAAGGGTGGCTACTTGAACAATCTCAAATATATATTTTTTTAACACTTATTTGTTTACTACATGATTCCATACGTGTTATTTCATAGTTTTGATGTCTTCACTATTATTCTACAATGCAAAAAATTGTAAAAATAAAGACAAACCCTTGAATAAGTAGGTGTGTCCAAACTTTTGACTGATAGTGTATGTTACTATCTACAGTGGCCAGATTGGTAAAGTATTTAGTGTTGTGTGCATTGTGCTGCACTTACCACCCCATTCGTTTCATATGAAGTGTGTGTAACTGCCTTGTCAGTTAGCAAGCTAACGTTAGCTAGCTAGCTAACTAATAAGCTAGTGCAAACCTAACAAAAAAATCCTTCTTCAAGCACAAAACTCTTTAGCTAGACGTAAAATATATAAAGATTTGCTCTAGAAAAAAAATATGTATTATGCAGCTTTATTGTTTTAGTTAGAACAATTCTGATGAAAAGGGTGTATTAGACCGGAAAAAGTGCCCTCTTCTTTTCAATTTTCTTGTCACTGTCGGCTCCCCCACGTAGAGGTTCTTGCTCTCAGATTGGCTCAAAGACAAGTTGTCGGCCACTGCCGAGCATTGTGATTCTACAAGTAGAAACGGCAGGTTTGTCGGTACCAGGTCGGTACACAGCAGGTACGTATTTTGTTCTAGCAAGAGAAGAGGCCTCCTACTGTGATAAGTACCTATAGGCAGTCTGTTGGCAGTCAGATTCTCATTGCGTTTCTTGTTAAGACAAATTCTGGGTATGTGTAAATGTACTTGGCAAATAAAGGTGATTCTGATTTTGAAAAGCCTCCATAAAAACAAAGTAAAAAGAAGACAATCTAACAGCAGGTTCAGAGGGGAAAGGTAATGCAGTAAACACCGTTGTCCTTTACACCACAATGTGTTGTACACCCATCAACACAAGTCAGTTATTAAAGGAGACTGGAGCAGTGGTGGCGGTGTTCGCAAGCAGGGAAAGGTGATCAGTCATAGCTTACTACAATTTAAATATAAAGTCATACTAACTACTCATTTAACCAGACATAGCTTGAGCTAGTTTGGTTAAAGAGGTTCCGTGAAGCATGTGATATGTGAACAGAACAGAGCAGGGATGCCAAAAAGGAGCAAAGCCTTGCCACTGAGGATAACATGCGATGTTACTTACAAGTGGTCGGTCGCGATGTGTGTTCACTGCCTCCACATTAAGGTAAAACATTTCCACTTTACAGCCTGGGGATAGTTCCAGAGATAAATTAATGTGACCCATTCCTAATTGTCAAACTACTAGTGGTGATCCAATTTGTAAGTCGCTCTGGATAAGAGCATCTGCTAAATGACTTAAATGTACTCCATCAGATGTGAACATAACACATAACATAATTGTCCATTTATTCTGCCATAAGCCTAATGAACACAAAGTCTTACCATAGGCAACAGGGCTGAGCTTGAGCACCGTGTGCAGTGGACATTTCAGGTAGGGTAGGTCATCTATGAAAGACAAAATAGTTTAAAAAAAAGTGTAAATTACCTCTGGTGTTTGTGACACTGTCAGTAAGTGTGTACTGCTTGGTGTGTGCTCACCCACCTGCACTCTTGTCCAGGAAGTAGGCTAGCAGGCAGCGCATTACAGCCTGGTGACAGATGACCAGCACATTGCCCTGTCTCTCTAGCTCCATGATGACAGGCTCTAACCGCTGCACTAGGTCCTGGTAGGACTACAGGGAGGGAGAGAGGACACACTGAGCCTTAGTCATCCCTAAGCCTAACAAGAGAAGGGCTCCATATTGTGGTAAGTGGGTAGGACTTTACCTCCCCTCCTAGGTAGCGGTAGTGGTACTTGTCCTGGTCCCTCAGGGCAAACTCTTCTGGAAAGGAGTTCTGGATCATATCATATGTCATCTCCTCACACACACCCTAACAGACAGGAAAGAGAGAACTCTGGAAAATTAGCCTTGGCAGTTGAGTTGCCAGATAATGATAAATCCTTACTTATTATACAAACAATGAATATAACAAGTCCTTTATGAAATATCAAATTCATTTAAAATCACAAATGGTGTCTACCTAAATTAAACCATCATGGTATTCATTATTTTAGACCAGTGATAGGTGAGAGATCAGCGGTAAAGTCAGTACTGACAGCATCTATCTCGTTGAGGATCTTCCACTGTTCGTAGGGCACAATCAGCTCCTCAGCAGTCTGGATGGTACGTCTCAGCTGGCTTGTCCACACCTTCAGGTCCGACAGTTTGTGCTCCTCGATGAAGCCGCGCAAGGCATGGGCAAACTGGACCAGAAAGGGAAAAGAAGAAAGTGAAGAATTGTGAAGAGAGATTAGTGTCAATAACAGGCCCATCCATCAGGGTACTTTTTACTGTACATGGCCATGGTAAACATGCTATTAACTATTTAAGAGTACATAATAAGTACATGATCAGGTTACCAGTGTTTCCTCAAATTTAAAGTACAGGAGCTTTAATTAGTATTTTCCATTAGCTGTTCAACTAAATCTACATAGAAAATCGGTAGGATCCACTGACTCAAAGACACATGTCAGTGTTACGCCTGACTGCTCCATAGAGATTGATAGAGGCTTCTAGTGGCCAAAAGGCCGTATTAGCATGGCCAACGCCACTGAGGGCTTCCATCATTTTAACTTCATTGGCTGATCCCTCCTGGTAACCCTGTTGGAGTCATGTCCAACTGGGTCATCAGGCGGGATCAGCCAATCGTGAAGAAGAAAATGGACTACTTCAAAATGGTGATGGCCTCAATGGCGCTGCCCATGCTATCACAGATGCTATAATGGCACAGATACAAAGATGAGTCCTCTATATATCTCTATGGACTGCTCTCTCTGGACTAGGCCTAACGGTCATGGTGGACAGGACACATACCTTTTTTCCCCCTGGGGAGAGCTCCGAGTCGCCTCCGATACGGCCCTCCATGTTGTGATTGCTCTCTCCATGCCGGCACAGGTAGAGGGAGTGAGAGTGCACTTGGATGTTCATGAGGTAGTACACTATCTTACTCTGGATGTAGTCCTGCACCCGGTTCACCAGGAAGCGCCGGCCCACATTCTCCACCTTGATGAAGGATAGGTCCCTACGGGAGACACAGTAACACAATTGTCTGTATGTATTCTGTCTCCACCTGGTGGCTTACATCTGAACATCTGAGCAAATTTACAGGAATTCTCAAGAAATACAAACGTTAACGCCTACTATGTATAACACATGATGATCAGTATGGACAGTTGCCTCTAATTGAAGCAATGTCCTATTCAATGGCAACACACTGAGATAGACAGCTTTGGTCATTCTTACTTGTCATAATCATCGGGATCCAGAGGTTGGTATGTAACCTTATAGCACTCTATGCGTTTGAGAAAGTCATCCATTACTCTCTCTCTGTGCCTCTCTGGGTAGTCTGGACTGGACACCTTCACCTCCTGTTTAGAGATATGACAAATTAGAATGTGGGCAAAGAAACAATGAGAGTCGTGACATAACAAGGATATAGTCAGTTTATAATTAGGTTATAGTTTTGACCCTGGCCTGGGGTCATAGTAAAGCACTGCAATCCCATATGGTGACATCGGCACATACCAGAATATTAGCAGCAATGACTTCTGGGTCGTCACACACAGACTCCACAAAGAACACCTGTTGGAAAGAAAGCAGCTCAGACTGCGCTACTAAAATGTACTGCCTCACCACAGGGCTGGATGCAGTGTCACACCACACACTATCAATCTTAATAATGAATGGGTGTCCATAATACAGAGTAACGTTATATGGAGATACAATTCAAACTCAAAAATATATTTGGCAATTTAGCACATTGCATTTTTACCTTGAATGCATTCTCTTTCCCAAAATCAAGAATGAGGTCTCTCCTCTCCCTTGTTGTATTTGTTGCATCAAATACCTAATCAAAGCAAAGCAAACATCACAAAACTGGTGGATAAATGTCAAATATATTGAACAGACAAAAAGGAATCTTAAGGAAAGAGTATATGCCTTACAGCGATTTGTCCTCCTTCAGTTAGATATCCTTTCACATCCTCCAGGGCTACCAGAGCACACTGTCTGTGGGAGAGGAGAGGGAAATACAATGACAGTAGTCTTATAATCCATCAAAGGGTTCAACAGTGGGTCTGCAGAAAAGGGGGCAGGTATGCAATCCAACCTCAGATAATATACACTACCGTTCAAATGTTTGGGGTCACTTTTTTTGTCCATTTTTTGTCCATTAAAATAACATCAAATTGAAAAAAGCCATATCTCAGACTGGCCAATAAAAAGAAAAGATGGGCAGTCTGAGATATGGCTTTTTCTTTGCAACTCTGCCTAGAAGGTCAGCATCCCGGAGTCACCTCTTCACTGTTGACGTTGAGACTGGTGTTTTGCGGGTACTATTTAATGAAGCTGCCAGTTGAGGACCTGTGAGGCGCCTGTTTCTCAAACTAGACACTAATGTATTTGTCCTCTTGCTCAGTTGTGCACCGGGGCCTCCCACTCCTCTTTCTATTCTGGTTAGAGACAGTTTGCGCTGTTCTGTGAAGGGAGTAGTACACAGCGTTGTACGAGATCTTCAGTTTCTTGCCAATTTCTCGCATGGAATAGCCTTCATTTCTCAGAACAAGAATAGACTGACGAGTTTCAGAAGAAAGTTATGTTTTTGGCCATTTTGAGCCTGTCATCGAACCCACAATTGCTGATGCTCCAGATACTCCATAAACTAGTCTCAAGAAGGCCAGTTTTATTGCTTCTTTAAATCAGCACAACAGTTTTTAGCTGTGCTAACATAATTGCAAAAGGGTTTTCTAATGATCAATTAGCCTTTTAAAATGATAAACTTGGATTAGCAAACACAACGTGCCATTGGAACACAGGACTGATGGTTGCTGATAATGGGCCGCTGTATGCATATGTAGATATTCCATTTTTAAAAATCTGCCGTTTCCAGCTACAATAGCCATTTACAACATTAACTTTGTCTACACTGTATTTCTGATCAATTTGATGTTATTTTAATGGACAAAAAAAATAGCTTTTCTTTCAAAAACAAGGACATTTCTAAGTGACCTTAAACTTTTGAACGGTAGTGTATACAGTCGTGGTCAAAAGTTTTGAGAATGACACAAGTATTGGTCTTCACAACGTTTGCTGCTTCAGTGTTTTTAGATATTTTTGTCAGATGTTACTATGGTATACTGAAGTATAATTACAAGTATTCCACAAGTGTCAAAGGATTTTATTGACAATTACATTAAGTTTATACAAAGAGCCAATAATTGCAGTGTTGACCCTTTTTTTCTCCAGACCTCTGCAATCTGCCCTGGCATGCTGTCAATTAACTTCTGGGCCACATCCTGACTGATGGCAGCCCATTCTTGCATAATCAATGCTTGGAGTTTGTCAGAATTTGTGGGCTTTTGTTTGTCCACCCGCCTCTTGAGGATTGACCACAAGTTCTCAATGGGATTAAGGTCTGGGGAGTTTCCTGGCCATGGACCCAAAATGTTGATGTTTTGTTCCCCGAGCCACTTAGTTATCACTTTTGCCTTATGGCAAGGTGCTCCATCATGCTGGAAAAGGCATTGTTCGTCACCAAACTGTTATTGGATGGTTGGGAGAAGTTGCTCTCGGAGGATGTGTTGGTACCATTCTTATTCATGGCTGTGTTCTTATGCAAAATTGTGAGTGAGCCCACTACCTTGGCTGAGAAGCAACCCCACACATGAATGGTCTTTACTGTTGGCTTTACTGTTGGCATGACACAGGACTGATGGTAGCGCTCACCTTGTCTTCTCCGGACAAGCTTTTTTCCAGATGCCCCAAACAATCGGAAAGGGGATTCATCAGAGAAAATGACTTTACCCCAGTCCTCAGCAGTCCAATCCCTGTACCTTTTGCAGAATATCAGTCTGTCCCTGATGTTTTTCCTGGAGAGAAGTGGCTTCCTCGCTGCCCTTCTTGACACCAGGCCATCCTCCAAAAGTCTTCACCTCACTGTGCGTGCAGATGCACTCACACTTGCCTGCTGCCATTCCTGAGCAAGCTCTGCACTGGTGGTGCCCCGATCCCGCAGCTGAATCAACTTTAGGAGACGGTCCTGGCGCTTGCTGGACTTTCTTGGGCGCCCTGAAGCCTTCTTCACAACAATTGAACCTCTCTCCTTGAAGTTCTTGATGATCCAATAAATGGTTGATTTAGGTGCAATCTTACTAGCAGCAATATCCTTGCCTGTGAAGCCCTTTTTGTGCAAAGCAATGATGACGGCACGTGTTTCCTTGCAGGTAACCATGGTTAACAGAGGAAGAACAATGATTTCAAGCACCACACTCCTTTAAAGCTTCCAGTCTGTTATTCTAACTCAATCAGCATGACAGAGTGATCTCCAGCCTTGTCCTTGTCAACACTCTCACCTGTGTTAACGAGAGAATCACTGACATGATGTCAGCTGGTCCTTTTGTGGCAGGGCTGAAATGCAGTGGAAATGTTTTTGGGTGATTAAGTTCATTCTCATGGCAAAGAGGGACTTTGTAATTAATTGCAATTCATCTGATCACTCTTCATAACATTCTGGAGTATATGCAAATTGCCATCATAAAACCTGAGGCAGCAGACTGTGTGAAAATTAATATTTGTGTAATTCTCAAAACCTTTGAGGTCGGAAGTTTATATACACCTTAGCCAAATACATTTAAACTCAGTTTTTCACAATTCCTGACATTTAATCCTAGTAAAAATTCCCTGTCTTAGGTCAGTTAGGATCACAACTTTATTTTAAGAATGTGAAATGTCAGAATAACAGTAGAGAGAATGATTTATTTCAGCTTTTATTTATTTAATCACATTCCCAGTGGGTGAGAAGTTTACATATACTCAATTAGTATTTGATAGCATTGCCTTTAAATTGTTTAACTTGGGTCAAACGTTTCGGGTAGCCTTCCACAAGCTTCCCACAATAGGTTGGGTGAATTTTGGCCCATTCCTCCTGGCAGAGCTGGTGTAACTGAGTCAGGTTTGTAAGCCTCCTTGCTCGCACAAGCTTTTTCAGTTCTGCCCACAAATGTTCTATAGGATTGACTCCAATACCTTGACGTTGTTGTCCTTAAGCCATTTTGCCACAACTTTGGAAGTATGCTTGGGGTCATTGTCCATTTGGAAGACCCATTTGCGACCAAGCTTTAACTTCCTGACTGATGTCTTGAGATGTTGCTTCAATATATCCACATAATTTTCCTTCCTCATGATACCATCTATTTTGTGAAGTGCACCAGTCCCTCCTGCAGCAAAGCACCCCCACAGCATGATGATGCCACCCCTGTGCTTCACGGTTGGGATTGTGTTCTTCGGCTTGCAAGCACCCCCTTTTTCCTCCAAACATAACGATGGTCATTATGGCCAAACAGTTCTATTTTTGTTTCATCAGACCAGAGGACATTTCTCCAAAAAGTACACTCTTCGTCCCCATGTGCAGTTGCAAACCGTAGTCTGGCATTTTTATGGCGGTTTTGGAGCAGTGGCTTCTTCCTTGCTGAGCGGCCTTTCAGGTTATATCGATATAGGACTCGTTTTACTGTGGATATAGATACTTTTGTACCTGTTTCCTCCAGCATATTCACAAGGTCCTTTGCTGTTGTTCTGGGATTGATTTGCACTTTTCACACCAAAGTACGTTCATCTCTAGGAGACAGAGCTTGTCTCCTTCCTGAGCGGTATGATGGCTGCGTGGTCCCATGGTGTTTATACTTGCATACTATTGTTTGTACAGATGAACGTGGTACCTTCAGGCATTTGGAAATTGCTCCCAACGATGAACCAGACTTGTGGAGGTCTACCATTTTTCTTCTGAGGTTTTGGCTGATTTCTTTAGATTTTCCCATGATGTCAAGCAAAGAGGCACTGAGTTTGAAGGTAGGCCTTGAAATACATCAATGGGTACACCTCCAATTGACTCAAATGATGTCAATTAGCCTATCAGAAGCTTCTAAAGCAATGACATCATTTTCTGGAATATTCCAAGGTGTTTAAAGGCACAGTCAACTTAGTGTATGTAAACTTCTGACCCACTGGAATTGTGATACAGTGAATTATAAGTGAAATAATCTGTCTGTAACCAATTGTTGGAAAAATGACTTGTGTCATGCACAAAGTAGATGTCCTAACCGACTTGCCAAAACTATAGTTTGTTAACAAGACATTTGTGGAGTGGTTGAAATGAGTCCAACCTTAGTGTATGTAAACTTCCGACTTAACTGTATATATTTTTTACACTCAATCTTAAAGGCCCCTGTATCATTTTGTGTTTGATTCTATGGTAAGCAGTCCAGTAGACTAGAATGATATACTGTATGCCTATCTTTCTTCTGTACAGACACCTGAATAGTAACACTGACAGAACAGTGAGGGAACATACCGATGCAACATTTTGCAAGGAGAGAGTGAGTGGCAGCAATATATTTAGATCAGCATTCTGTGATGTTGTCAAGAGCAGTAAAGCCATTTACAGGTCTATAAAGGGCAATTCTCTACACAGACTACTACATTCACTTTCTGAGCCTATTCAGATGTCTCATTCAGTGATTATTCTGGATCAAGTTTAGTGCTTGCTTAAAAAACTTTCAGCTAGTTGGAAAATAGTAATCCATCACAAATTCCTATTAATATAATATGGATATTTTGTACACTGAATAACTACTTGCACAGCAGACAGTGTGTTGGTTCAGAAACTCACTAGCCATTGACGCCAGCCGGGGCTGCAAAGTACACCTGTGAAATCATGCATGAGAGAACCTGGAGTGCTGCTGGAGCAATAAGATTGACTCAGATCTGACCATGCTGATGGAAACAATACTTGATTAATGCATTTTTTTTCTAACATGTTACCATTGATAGAAAACTTTGTCTGTCATATGTGAACTCAAGTTCTAAGCAAATAAAAATGAAAAATGTGCCATCAAAACAGTGTGCAAGGCAATTGTGAATGCTTTCTCAGTATGGCTCTGCTTGAATAAAACAAATGTAACTTACTTCCTTATTTCCATGGCTTCCTTGTTGTCGTGCCTGAAGAAGTCGTAGGACTTGTAAGCTTTGACAGCCTCTCGGCGGTAGACACCCAAGTTAAACACTACAAAATTACCAAAATGGCACCAACAACTGAGTTATGACTTGCTTTTATCAGTGTCTACATGGTCTATTAAGTTAGGGTTGTCTCCCATCATAGAAATGGGACTGGTTCAAATTAGGATCCTATTCAACATGGGGCATCTCAGTTCTCAGGAGCTTTACATTTTTTATTTAAAACTTGACATTTACCTAATAATGAAGGCACTTACTTTATAGGACACAATACACTGGTGATTTAAAGTTGACTGAAGTGCTTATTTAAAGATATCTCAAACACCAGAGGATTCCACCATCAATAGTCTGTCATAATGGAAGACTTAAAGGGAGATGTATAATGTCTTCAAAAGTGATGTTGTAGAGGCTGTCTTTCCCCACTCACCTTTGGTTGGCACTCCTATCCAGTTGAGGTATCGTGTCAGTTTCTTAGACATATAGGTCTTTCCCCTGGCAGGTAGGCCGATCATTACAATCACTGTGGGAGAGTTTGTCATGTAGAATGCCCATGCTGAACAGAAAGACAGACAGACATACATACATACTATAGTGCATTAGCATCGGACTAACTCAGATACTACTGTATACTGTCTATACTGTATACCTATATACAGTATAGACAGTGATACACAGGCCTGACAATTCAATGAGATACAGTAGATAAGGCAAAACAATTTAACTATCAAAGTGGTTGGTTGGTATGATCAAACATCATTGGATTAATTTCTTATCCTTGATTTCCCATGTACTGTATACTTAGATTAAAAGGGATAGATCAAAGTGAACTGGCAAGCCATGGCTTGCTATTCTCAAATAAATTACGGCTGCAACAGGACTGCAGATAGACTGAATACTGTATAGAATATGGGCTAAATATAATCAGATTTCAACATAATCTGCATGATAAAAATATATAATGTGGAAAGACGATGAATAATTTGCCCAAAATATGCCCAACTGAATAATTTTCAGAGAAGACTAATCTCTCTCAAAATATTATAAACGCAGTTGTATTCCTTTTAAACTCATTTGCTTGTTAATGTGTGCATCAGCATCAACAAAAAATGCATTCCAGGCATAGGGAAAGCTTTACATCATAACGAAGACAAAACTAAATAACACCTCATTCTGTGCCAGTCAAAACAGCCTGAGGCAATCATGCAGACTGCAGCGGAATTGTTGCTGTCTTGCCTATGGTCCTGCCTGTGCACAGCTCTCCTGCATTGAAGATGTTGCTCTTGGAGGATTATCAGTAGGCTACTTACAGCATTTCTTTTCGTTTACTCTGAGCTCTGTTTTCTTGGCTTCAGCAGAGTTGGCCGAGCCAGTCTCTCTCTGAATGGTTGCGGACATGGTGGAGTTGTGTCCTTGTCGTACCAGGTTCCCAAAGGCTCTAGAAGGGCATGGCCCCAGACAATCTGAAACACAAGGTTGATTTATTCTAGCAGTAGGTCTAGGCCTACGTATCTCATTACATTTGTATTTATATTTCCTGAATAAGAATGACAAATGTATCTACTATCTGAACAATATTCAATTCAATTGAAGTTGATACAAAATCTGTACAAAAGTATGTGGACACCCCTTCAAATTAGTGGATTCGGCTATTTCAGCCACACCCGTTGCTGAGAGGTGTATAAAATCGAGCACACGGCCATGCAATCTCCATAGACAAACATTGGCAGTAGAATGGCCTTACTGAAGAGCTCAATGCCTATCAACATGGCAACGTCATAGGATGCCAACTTTCCAACAAGTCAGTTTATAAAATTTCTGCCCTGCTAGAGCTGCCCCGGTCAACTGTAAGTGCTGTTATTGTGAAGTGGAAACGTCTAGGAGCAACAATGGCTTAGCCGCGAAGTGGTAGGCCACACAAGCTCACAGAATGGTATCGCCGAGTGCTGAAGCAACACTCACTACCGAGTTCCAAACTGCCTCTGGAAGCAACATCAGCACAAGAACGGTTAGTCGGGAGCTTCATGAAATGGGTTTTCATGGTCGAGCAGCCGCACACAAGCCTAAAATCACCATGTGCAATGCCAAGTGTCGGCTGGAGTGGTATAAAGCTTGAGGCCATTGGACTCTGGAGCAGTGGAAATGTGTTCTCTGGAGTGATGAATCACGCTTCACCATCTGCCAGTCCGATGGATGAATCTGGGTTTGGCAGATGCCAGGAGAATGCTACCTGCCCCAGTGCATAGTGCCAACTGTAAAGTTTGGTGGAGGAGGACTAATGTTCCGGGGCTGTTTTTCATGGTTCGGCCTAGGCCCCTAAGTTCCAGTGAAGGGAAATATTAACGCTACAGCATACAATGACATTCTAGACGATACTGTTCTTCCAACTTTGTGGCAACAGTTTGGGGAAGGCCCTTTCTTGTTTCAGCATGAAAATGCCCTGTGCACAAAGCGAGGTCCATACAGAAATGGTTTGTCCGAGCCAGGCCCAATTGCCCAACTTCACTAATGCTCTTGTGGCAGAATGGAAGCATGTCCCCGCAGCAATCTTCCAACATCAAGTGGAAAGCCTTCCCAGAAGAGTGGAGGCTGTTATAGCTGCAAAGGGGGAACCAACTCCATATTAATGCCCATGATTTTGGAATGAGATGTTCAATGAGAATGTGTCCACTTACTTTTGGTCATGTAGTGTATATAGGCTACACTAAAAGCACTTCAAATCACAATTCATTAAGTATTATGAGTCTGATGAACTTTCAAATAAATTAGAAAGTAATGGCACGACTTGACATTTGCTGTAATGTAATTAGGCTACTTTTATATTAGGTTAGATACAGCTTCCTTTTCTGTCAACAGCCTTCAAGCATATTGCAACACAGCAAAGTGAGGGACTGCCATTTCATCCTCACAGCCACCATGTATTGCGCAGCCATATGCACTCATCAAAAGCGCGCTAACAAAAACCGGGAATCACGAAATGATGCCAAAGCCATTTACCGCAGTATGTAATATTATAATGCGACGACACTACTGCAGTCCAATCGGATAGTCTCGGGCCAGGGTCACTGTCTGTGTCGGGAACACTGATAATAGACGAATCGGCTGTTTCCATAGAGATAGTTAGAGGGCGCAACATCTTATCTGTCCGATAATTGCGTCTGTGAGAGCATGGGCAGCGCGATTGAGGCCATCTCCATTTTCTACGAGTTGGTAAACAAACTGACAGGGTGCATACTGCCACCTGGAGTGTGTTATTTGAACAGGTATAAAGCCAAGGTTGGCGATTTACTGCCACCTGCCATTATGGAATATTTGCTCATAAGTATAATGAATTGGTCCCGAGTATAACCCATTGATTCCTCCTAATGACGTGGATGGAATTATGTGATCCTTCCATAACCCATAGGAAGTCCTACCCAGTTGACTACTTCAAAATGGTGAATGGCCTCAATGGCGCTGCCCATGCTAAAAAGGCATTTTGACCACTAGAGTCCTCTATCTAGCTCTATGGTTGTTTCACACCTAAATATCACAGGCTACTTACTGTACACTCTCAAAAGCTATTGCAATTTACCTGCAATATGAGAGCCGATGAGGGAATTAGAACATTGATCGGACGTCCAATCCGCACGTTCTGCTATCTCTGACTCTATGAGGTTTCTGTCCCACTCCAGCCGGTGACGCGACTGTTCAGTCGTATTGTGGTCGACGCTGTCCTTGTGCGGAGGTTGGTGGCGCCGCACCGGTTGATGTCCTTCCAAACCAGAAAAGCATGAGAAGGTGTGCCATTTGCGTCACAACTTCTTTACCGTAATCTTCATAATATACAGATTTATGATGCGCATATAATGTATATTCAGTGGTGGAAAAAGTACCCAATTGTCATACTTCAGTAGAAGTAAACTTACCTTATTACCTTAATAGAAAATGACTCGAGTATAAGTGGAAGTCACCCAGTAAAATACTACTTGAGTAAAAGTCTAAAAGTATTTGGTTTTAAATATACTTAAGTATCAAAAGTAAATGGAGTGTGTAGCTCAGCTGGTAGAGCACGGCGCTTGTAACGCCAAGGTAGTGGGTTCGATCCCCGGGACCACCCATACACAAAAAATAAAATGTATGCACGCATGACTGTAAGTCGCTTTGGATATTATTATTATAATAAATGGAATTGCTCAAATATACTTAAGTATCAAAAGTAAAAGTATAAATAATTTCAAATTCTTTATATGAAGCTAACCAGACTGCACTATTTTCTTGTTTTATTTATTTATGGATAGCCAGGGGCACACTCCAACATCATTTACAAACGAAGCATGTGTGTTTAGTGAGTCTGTAGTACTTTAAAGTATTTTTACTTAAATACTTTACACCACTGTGTATATTATGTAGGCAGTGGAAGTGAGAACATTATGTGCACTGACCAGACAGCAGTAATAAAATAATTGCGAAATATTTATTATCAAAGGAAATAAAACATTCCTAATTTATAGCCTATTAACGTTTCTTTGTGTAATTTTTTAAAATCAAACTATACTATCTGTGAATAGTTGCTTAGCAGAACATATTGGTCTTCAGTACTAAGGCCAAAGGTTACAATCTATGTGTACCATTATGTCAGTAATGAAATACAGACAAACCCCAAATAAATAAAGCCCCCATAAAAGCTACATTACATTCCCCTTAAAATATCACAAAAATCGGTTTAGAGTAGTTAAATATCATATAAAAAATAAAATAATGCAATTCATCAATTTAGTTCAGTAACCCATTTTGAAGATTTGTATTTAAAAAAATCATTTAAAAAGTATTTAACGCTGTCTAACAGCTGAGTACATGTCAAACCATGCTGGAATGTCAAATTCTTTCATAACAGTTTGTTCATTCTTGTTTCCTATTCCATCCTTTCTCCATGTCTTGAAATGGTTCACATTCAAATGGCCAGCAAATTTCTCAGTGTTCAGAAGGCACCCATTGGCTACTGTTTCTCCACTTAAGAACCAGGAAGTGGCCAGGTCCAGGGACTTTCTAGATTCTGGCACTGGGTTACTGGAACTGCTGCAGCAGATCGGTTCAGGCCACAATGATTACGTAGCCTAGGATGTGTGTATCATTGATTGTAAAGAGCTCATGCTTGTGTATGACCACAATGGTATTGTGTGATTTAAAGTTCAATGTTCCTGGGAAGGCACGGAGATGCATAGGCGATCACTCAGTAGGTTTGCACAGATGGCAAGCTGTGGATGGTAGGAGTTAGCAGAGTCTCCAGTGTCCAACAGTTAGTGGTTTAGCAAGTTCACATTAAGGCTTAATCTTCCACAGCTGTAGGAGAGACAACAAGGAGGGCACATTTAAAAACACAGCATATATACTCACTTTTGGAAGTTGTGCCAGGAGGAAAACAACTCTGACAGACGTGAAGATTCACTGTATGACAAAGATATCAGTGTTTAGCAACAGCATTGTGGGATTAGAAGTGTCTCCACTCACTCTGATGTTGAAGCCGAGCAGGTCGCTGACCACAGCGGAGACTGCAGACAGGATGACCACGCGTGTGATGTTATAGATGAGAGGGTTCACAGTCAGCCCCAGCAGTCGGAAGGGGGTGTCAAGCTCCTGTGAAAGGGTTGGTATGAGAAGCCAGTCAGAGATGCTTTCATTGCACGTTATGCTGAATAAACAACTACCAGCCCAGTAGATTTGACTAAAGTCCAAAATGTCATTATGGGGCTGAAGTTGAGAGACATCCTTACTTTCATTAGTTTTGTTGCAAGCTTCAGAACATTGTTCACTATGTTCAAATTTTCTTTCTTGTTGGGCTTCTTTTCCATCTTAAGATACAAGTTGATCTGAAAGAAGAAAATAATTGAGGGAGATGTATTAAAGTAATGTTTGTGTGCGTGCGCGCGATTGTGTGTGTGTGTCTGTGTGCGTGTTGTCAGGGGTCGCATTAGCATTCACAAATCTGCCTTTTCAAAACGCAAAACGTGTTTTAAACCATTTTACCTGCGTTTCATATTTAAAGTATTTTTTTCTTTTTTGCTTCAATAGAGTTGTAGCATAGGTTTTTGTATTATACTTTTATTTTGAAACTATATTGAGTCATTATTACTGACAGTACCCCTTTAAGACTTTTATTGCAAAGCACTTAATTATTCCCAGAAGGCATCTGTGCATATCCAGCAGTGGTGTAAAGTACTTAAGTAAAACTACTTGAAAGTACTACTTAAGTAGTATTTTTGGGTATCTGTACTGTACTCTTTTTATTTTTGGCAACTTTTACTTCACTACATTCCTAAAGAAAATTTGGTACTTTTTACTCCATACATTTTCCCTGAAACTCAAAAGTACTCGTTACATTTTGAATGCTTAGCAGGACAGGAAAACTGTCTAATTCACATCCCATGTCATCCCTACTGCCTCTGATCTGGCGGACTCACTAAACACATGCTTCGTTTGTAAATTATGTCTGAGTGTTGAAGCATGCCCCTGGCTATCCGTACATTTTAAAAACAAGAAAATGGTGCCGAATGGTTTGCTTAATTACATTTACATTTTAGTCATTTAGCAGACGCTCTTATCCAGAGCGACTTACAGTTAGTTAGTGCATACATTATTTTATTTTTTTCATACCCCCTGTGGGAATCGAACCCACAACCCTGGCGTTGCAAACGCCATGCTCTATCAACTGAGCTACATCCCTGCTGGCCATTCCCTCCCCTACCCTGGACGACACTGGGCCAATTGCGCTCCGCCCCATGGGTCTCCCATAAGGAATCTGAAATTATTTATACTTTTACTTTTGATACTTAAGTATATTTTAGCAATTCCATTTACTTGTAATACTTAAGTATATTTAAAACCAAATGCTTTTAGACTTTTACTCAAGTAGTATTTTACTGGGTGACTTCCACTTATACTTAAGTCATTTTCTATTAAAGGTATCTTTACTTTTACTCAAGTATGACAATTAGGTACTTTTTCCACCACTGATATCCAGAGGGAAAGAGAAGAGCTTTGACGTTGATGTGAATCCTACTTCAAATCAAATTTTATTTGTCACATACACGTGTTCAGCAGATGTTATTGCGGGTGTAGCGAAATGCTTGTGCTTCTAGCTCCGACAGTGCAGTAATATCTAACAAGTAATATCTAACAATTTCACAACATATACCTAATACACAATATCAAGATCTCTGAAACATCAAACAAACATCAGAGACACCGCCCATGCAGATCCACATGCATTTCACTATTGCGTTGAACTACCCCATTGTTTCTAGAAGCTTCTCCTCGTGGAAGACCCAGTTGGAGCTGGCTGTGCAACACATTTGGCAGAAAATCATTTTCATCAGATGACAACAGAAGTGCAATGCTATTTGGCTAGCAGCCACACATAAGTAAGTTAGCTTACAATGAAAAACCAAGGTATTTTTTGGCCATCATATTTCTAATGTTTATCATAGAAAGAATGTAGCCAGCTACATTTCCTAAAGTTCTGCTTGAAGTTAATCTTGCATTTGAACTTGCTACCAGAGAAGAACTAGTACCAGAGAAAAGTAGCCTACATTAGGGCTGTTGCGGTGACCGTATTACCGCCACACCGGTGGTCACGAGTCATGAAGGCAGTCAAATTCCATGTGACCGTTTAGTCACGGTAATTAGGCTTCTCCAAGCTCTGATGCTGCTGATGGTTATTTGTAGCCTACCAAACTTGCTAACTGCCTCGTACTCAGCACTCTATTGTCCCTCTAATTACTCTGACATAAATGCGAATGTCTTCGAAAATCTAATCAAACACTTCATGAGAGCCCATAAGCACATGTTGCGCAACATTTCAATAGGCTATGCAATTGCGTGAGAAAACAGAGTGATGGCCTCTACTGAAAAGAGGAGGATCAGCTTTCTATAGGCTAGGCCTACTATATTTATTTTTCAACTTTCCTAATATTAAGCACATTGCCTACCTGGCTGGCATGAAAATAAACCACGGGGAAAAGCATCCTCCATTCGCTATTTAAGTGCATAAATGACATGTATTTTTTCCCGCTGCCCCTGTTTCGATACAGGTGCATGATAATGGTCCATTCTAAATCAAAACAAATGTCACACATATATAATTTAGTATATGTAAAGACAAGATTAAATCAACAATAGTCTAATGGGTGACAATATTAGCCTATCACTTGTGAATGATATATTATCACTTGTGAATAAAGTCCAGCATAAGAAACAATGCTTTTTTTTGCGACTTTTTCGAATCATAGTCGAACACCTCACGTAGCCTAGCCTATAGGCCTATATGTTTTAACAAGGTTTGTATCACAACTAAAGTGGCCAAAAATGTATGCACATTAATCCACTTTACAACGGGTGTAGAGCCTAACTCCTCAAATCAAATCAAATGACTGGCAAACATAAGCAGCTTGTGAGTTTCAAGTTTGGGGAACATAATTTCCACCATAAAAATGCACCTTTATAATAAAAGCATTACATGCATAATTGCATTTGCGGTCACTTTTGATAATGGTGTTTTCCGCTAATGGAACATTCCCGCTTATAGCCTACTTCCATGTGCGCATTGCTGCGCTTATAATGTGAAGAAGTAGCCTAATAGTTTATCAACATTTTAAGCTAAACGTTCTGATCTGTTGCGTCAGCCACATTGCGTAAAAAATGTTTTTTGATGATAGTGGTTGTATTAATTTGGGTTCTATCGCATCCCACAACTGTCCTAGACTAGGTCGACCTTTGTACTATGGGGGCTAGTAGATTGACATAGGCTAGTGCTTTTGCTGTTGGTTAGGCCTACTCATCTTGTTGGCTGACGAAAAGTAAATGTGGACAGTTCTTCCAATATCTTCAATATGCACCTAGAAATTGGATAAGGAAGCGCACAGTTGCATCCCCAATGTGTCTGTCTTCACTTGTAGCCTGTGAGATAGACCCGATCACGTGATGGAGTGTGCAGAACTCGGCAAGAAGGGCACAACGGCCACTGGCCGCAAAAGGCATGGATTTTTTTAGGGTGCATTACGGACACACAAAGGGGATGCCACCGTGAAATTCTAGGTATTATCAAGTGCTTGTCAAATTGTGAATGAGTGACTGATGTAGTGTATACGGCCTTATGCAAAAAACAAAGCAGAGCTCATGCCTTTCAAGCGACTTTTTTCAAATCATCATTAGAGTCGCATCATGCAGCCTTACAATGTATTAAAATCAAAACATATAGCTCAATGTTTGTAGAACAACTAAAGTTACATTAATAACTCTAAATTAAGCATATAGGAATATCTATTTCTTTGTTAACCGCTCAACACAGAATAGCAGCATGTGCGCACTCCCTCAAATCGTTTGGAGAAAATATCCTTTCTATTTTACTCAGCTTTGTTCAATTGTATTCTTGATACTATAAAATAATGCTATGGAATTCTAAGCAAATCTTGTCTGCTAAATGAACTAGTGTAGCCCACAGCCATTTGGCATAGCCAGATCAGGACAACTCAGAGTATGCTATTCTGTTCTTCTGAAATAGACTACATTTTCTTCATATCATGCTTCTTTAGACCTGTCTAAAATAAATAATGGATTTATTGTGAAGGTATAGGCTATATTACATGGATTTACTAGACTTTTTTAAATGTAGATGTTCCAAAGGTCAGCACCAGTGGCTTGTAGGCTATATGTGGAAGCCAGGAGATGCTAAATGTGTTTATGTTAATTAATGGTCAATTACCGTGAGACCGACAGTTATTTGCTTGACAATCACCGGCTGATGAAATTTCGTGACCGCCACAGCCCTAGCCTACATCAGTCAGAACGCTGTCTGGTGATCCAATGACGAGAGCAAAGATATTTCATCCGAGTGGAGAAGTGCAACTGAAGCACGAAATGAGTCCTTTTACATTCATGATTTGGAGCGAACACTGACTGAAGCCAAGCAGAATTTACAATAAGAAGCATTTTAAAATCTGCGTATATTTGTTCTGTGTTTTATCTTTCCTTTTCTGTGTGAAAAATGGAGAATCTTGCGTTCACGATACCCCTGGTTGTGTGTGTAGCAGGGGGCCTTACCTGTTCGGTCAGCAGCACTGACACGTTGCTGTATTTACAGTTGGTCTCGGAGCCCAGGGTGGCCAGACGGAGCAGGAAGAGGATGAGGGAGGAGCCCCACACCATGAGCTCCCAGTTGGTCTCAGAGTCCAGGAATGTGTGGGGACTGTTCAGGAGCTGGCAGTTAGAGATAGAAAATGAGTACTCATGATCTTAAATCTATTCTGTTTGTACAGGTTGGAGCTTAACAAATGCACATTCAGTCTTACAACAGGTATTTTGGATGGTAAATCATGGTATGTTTATTTGAATACTGTGTATTTATCAAACAAAGTACACTCTTTTTATCGATATGTCTCACCTGTGTACACAAGATGAAGGCGATGGAGAGGGCCAGGAGGAAGATGGAGGAGACGATGACATCAACGGAACGCTGGGGCCCACGTCTCTGTGGTGAATAGGAAATAATATTAGGGGACATTTCAATGAGGGCAGGACCTTCATCACCCCCTAGTGGCAAAACCATACACTGAAGTATACCAACAAAAAGGCATTCGAGTAGTGAGAGGAACTCAGACCTTGAGGAAGGAGCGGAGCGACAGCCACATCTTAATATTCTGCACATTCTTCAGCCTGAAGTGGGGGATTTCCGACTTCTTGGCCTTTCGTGCTGATGTGATGTGGTTGAAGAGTTTGGCGAAAACAAGCCTCTGTTGAAAGAGAAACATGCAACATTTCCAACATGTTCGTTATGTAGTAGTTTGTCTACAACAGTGGGACTAACATGCTGACCTGTTTGTAGGTCCTCTCTGCCACACACATCATGAAGAAAAAGAGTCCTGTGAGGCAGAGCCTCTCCACGGTGGTGATGAAGAGGAAGGCGTAGGTCTGGGCGTCGGGCGGCCCCACCGCCATGACACCCAGCTCTGCCAGGGACAGGGAGCTCAGGCGTGTCATGTCCAGCCGCTGTGCCAGGCGGAAGCCAAAGGGAAGCAGCACCAGTGTGGCAGTGACCAACCCCCCCAGGGCTAGGTAACCCATGCCCTGCTCCACCACCTTCACCTACACAGGAGATATCACCTCTGTTAGGAGGACAGAGTTATGGGGCACAGAGTACACAGCCCTAATGGTGTTTCTATAAATAGAAACAGTCAGAAACCCATTCCAGCCCTAAAGCATTATAGACCAGCATTCACTCTGTATTGAATGTGTGTTAATTGTACCAAAATGGCATCAGTGAGTGTAATGAAGTGGTCATAGGAGGTGTACCCGTGTGAGGATGATCCCACTGATCTCCAGTACTGACATGTCTGCTTTCTTGCACTCCCCCTGCTCCCAGATGATGGCACTGACCCGGTCTCTGGATGGGTGGCACGCCTGCAGCCACGATAGTTGGCCCTGTCAGGAGAGAAAGCTGGTGTGCTGATATACTAACCCTTTTTGGGGTTACATATTAGGTGACAGGGTATATGTGTGGTGTAGCTAAAAGGAACTGTGATTAAAGTGAGTCCTTGTGGACAGACCCACCTGCTGCAGGTTCTCATCATCACTGCTGAGAGTGGTGGATGGGGGGAGGGTCAGGCCCGGGCAGTACCGCCCCTCCCCCTCACTGTCACTGCTGCCAGTGGAAGCAGAGTCTGGCCCCTGAAGAAGATCCTCCCACATCGTGTCATCTGTGTCAGAGGCCGGGTGCGAGCCCTCGGTCCTCAGGTGCTCCACTTGACGAGGGTTTACCTTAGTGGCCTTGGTGCCTCCACTACTTTCCTCCTGTGCAAATAATAGGACTGGTCAAACTAAATGTCCACCTTTCACTCTGGCTACAATGTGCAGGACTCACTGTCTTAGGGTTTACCTGAGGTGGTGAGGGGTTTGAGAAGGAGTGAAGGTGTCTCTTCCTGATGACAGAGGCAGGTGTCGGTCCAGCTACACCAGTGGGTGGTTTTGCTTCCTTATCATCTTCCTCCTCCTCTTCTTCACTGGAAAGCTCATCAGAGGCCCCAAAGCCTGACTTTCTCTGATTGGTCAGGAACAACATCACAAACAGCAATATAATTAGCTGGATAAACAGCAACACCACAAAGGAAACAAATAAATGTTGATTCACACAGACATAAAAAAAAAGGAAAAACTGCAACTCTGTTAATGACTGCTTGACTCACAAACAATCATTGTTTTATGCTCAGGTAGAGGATCTGATCCTTGTTTGTATGGCCTTACCCTTCTCTCCTCTGATCTGTACAACCTCTGGTTTTCCTCCAGCTGCAGCTCAGTGTCCCTGTTGTTCCCCTGTCCCTCTGTCCTCTTCAATCCTCTACCCTTCCTTGGCCTGAATGACGGGTGAGAAAATAAGGGAACATGTTATACAGTGTGAGAGCAGTTTGCGTTTGAGTGTATAAAAGGGTGCGTATGAACAGCATGTGTGTGAGCACCATGTTTGTGAGCAGCGTGTGTGTGAACAGTGTGTGTGTGAGCAGTGTGTGTTACTGGCAATAAGAACCCTACCTCCTCCTGCGTGCAGGGCTGGTGCCGCTGCTGCTGACAGGGCTGACTGAAGGGCTCCGGTTGGACTCAGTGGACACTATCTGGCAGTGCACTGTCCCCAGCAATAACATCAGACACATTGGCCCAAACTGCTCACTAGCACTGGCTGCAGGAACCTCCACGTACAACAATGCTGCTGCCACTACAGAGAGAAAGCTATTAATACACTATATAGGGGACTGAGAGTTACAGACCCATTTAGGTTTAATGAAAAATAATATTGGATTCCACAGTAGACACCTGAACCATTCCTAAAGGTGAGATGTGAGTTTACCTTGCATGAAGTAGAGCACCAGGATACAGGTGGAGATGGACCTGGAGGTCACCTGGATCCACCACTGGAAGAAGAAGGGGAAGAGGATCACCCTGACCAGACCCTTACGGGTCAACGCCGTCCATGGACTATCGGGCTTGGCCTTGCCGAATGTAGACCCTGGAATAGGAGAGACACAATCTATAGTGTTGCATGCACCATATCCATCCAATAAGCAAATAGTGCAAATAAGCATAGATATAACACCTTGTAATAAATGGATATTCACCTCTTACTAAGTCAACATCAATGAGGTCTGGCTTGATATGACCGGACCTCTTTGGTTTACGGTCAATGCCCTGTGTGGGAGACAGTTATCTTTGTAACAAATGCTGATCACATAAGAAATGAATCTAATGGCAGGTGAAATATGAGCATATTAGACCAAACGTCATGAACTTACATTAAGTTCAGCCTGTTCCAGAGATTTCTCCCAGACCTGCTGATCATATGCACCGATCTGTTGACACATGGACACACTTCAGTTTTTATTATATCATGTAGGGGATTTTAGACCCTCATTACATTGTCAGTAAGTGCAGCATGTCTTACCTTCTCTTGATACCATGCTATTCTCGCCATTGTCTTATGATTGTGGTGAACACTCAGTGTCAGGTCATTTCACAGGGGACACAGGCACAGATAAGATCTGGCTGCAACCCAGGCTTGTGTAACAACAAAACAAAGGAGAGAACATTAGAGATTAAGCAAAAACAATGCCATTGTGGAGTACAATGGGCATTTCCACAAAACATGTTCGCTCAATACCAGAAATGATCACTGCTAGCTAACTATAGCTTACTGTTTTTCATTGTGCTGCTTGTACAATTGTTATCCACAATACAAAAAATAACTACACAGAAATTCAACTGATTTTAACTTACCCCAAAGGATAATGTGGTTGAAGATAGGTGATAGAATTGTTCAACTGTGTTCAGGTGAAACTCTGTACTAGTGATCATTCTAAAAACATTGAAGACCAGTCAGTAAAACCATCATCCAGGAGCAGTATCATCAAGTGGGATGTCGCAGTGTGGATTGCAAACAAGCTCTGCCTTGCCATCATTGATGCAACTTCGGCTATACTTTTAAACTCGTAAAAAACACGTTTGAACTTGCCACTATTCAAAATAGGTAAACAGATTCGTGGCACATCTAGATAATCTAGATTAGAAATAAGTAACGTTAGCTAGCTAGCTAACTAGCTAGCTACCATTAAACAAAGACAGTATCTCGCCAGCTCTTCTTCAGCCCAGGAGGAGTGGCGCGCGGCTCGACGACGTAAACTAGCCAATTAACGTGAGCAGCATCTCGCCTGTAGGAATTGCAATGACTTACTAGCTATTTTATCACAGTTATCAAAACGATTTTCCCAATGCAAACTTCGTTATCAGTTGTATTTCAAGTCGAATTCGCAGGAATGCACACCGACACAACTGTTTTTAGGCTCTTGCACTTCCTTTTTCCGGGTTGATCGGCGCTTGCTTGTTTGTTGACATAACTGTCAGAACTGTCAAATCTGTGCAGCCAGCGGCTGCGCGTGTGGCCTGTGGAAACGCCACATTCCAATGGAAATCCTGTGACAGCTAGAGCGTACTCCAGAATAAAAATCTATGCATATAGAATATAGTAAAAGTAAATAGCTACATAGAACAGAATAGAAAATCATTTTTTATTATTTTTTGTAAACATTATGTTCATTTCCATAGCATTTCGTATAGCTATTTTTTTCATTTTCTTTTTACAGTTGGACTACATTATTGTATTGTAGGCTACTGTATTTGCCGTCTATCTTCACAACTCCTGCTTCTCCAATAGAATGATAATATAGTTTCGAACCTCAGGTCAGACTAGTTCAATCTAAAATCCTGAAAACTGCAAATGATTTACACAAATAAATAAAAGGCCTATAACAAGTAGGCTACATAGGCATAATTACGTAAAATAAATCACAAGACCATCCATGAGGTATTAATAGCCCCAGAAAAAATATTTTTTTCCCCAGAGTTTTGGTAACATTTTACATCTTGTCATTGGAGTCCTGGGTGTCGACTGATGGCTGCTCTTGGTCGGCTGCAGCACACACCAACTTACTCTTGACCTTCTTATTGGAGCTGATGATGAAAAAGGGGCTGAAAGAGGCATAACAGGAGGAGAAGAAGACCCTCATGTCAGCCACCACTGGAGACACCTTAGCTACCGTCAGCATGTAAATCCAGATGATATTGTCTATGCCGAAGAATACAACATACAACACCACCAGGGTGACCACTGTCTTGGCTGCCCTAGTCTCAGCTCCTCCACCCTGGGATGATCGTCGGATGCTTCTCACCTGGCGGCTGTGACGGTGGAGGAGGAGAAGGATGTAGCCGCTGGACCACAACATGAGCCCCACAAAGGCAAAGTCCCGTGTAGAGACTGCCACTCCATTGATCTTGTAGGACAGCATGTCCCTGAAGTCCACATGGCAGAAGCCCAGGTTGAGGGTGAAGGCAGGCACAGTGCCGTTGCGTGGGGCAATAGAGAAAAATGGAGCTGCGATGCATACAGCCATGTTGAGGAGCCACAGCCCTGCGATGGTGGGCACGATGAGGCTGGGAAGCCGGGCCTTAAGCCTGGACAAACAGGGTCCACCTGCAGGGGCGATGGTCACTGCCTGGAACACACTGAGCATACAGGTGATGCACACAGACAGAGCCCGGGAGATGCGGTAGGAGTAGATGACCACCTTGCAGCCCGGGTCATTCAGCAGGTCATGCAGGCCAAACACAGTCATGGTCTGGGGGACGCAGCGGGTGAGGAGCAGCATCAGGTCAACGAAGGCTAGGTGGCAGAGAATTATGTCCACAGGCTGGAGTCGGCGCTCAGAGCAGACGACCTGGGTGTAGGCCAGCAGCACCAGAGTGTTCCCCAGGATCCCTAACCCTGTTTGCAACAGGAAGGACACCCCTTTTATGGTGACACAGAGATCCAACATGATACCTAACTTGGGTACCACACTGAAGAATAGAGACAGAAAATGAAGTTTGTTAAACAGACTTATGAATACACCAACTGTGAACAAATGTTACTTATTGCACTCTCTATTAGACAAGGATTGCGGAAAGCATATTATTACCTGCAATTATTGATAAAGAAACAAGAACACAGTATTGGGCATTCAGTGTGGTTAATTTCCCCTGCAATTCCAATATATAGCATGTTGTAGTCTGTGGGGATTATTAGGGGACAACATTAGAACACTCACCCCACCCCTCCTAAAGATGTAAGAATCGCTACAATATGTAAACAAGAATAAGAACAACAGTTTTTTTTATTCAGATGGCAGCCATCAATGGCCATATTCTATTGGAACTTCAATTAAAGAAAAAAAAGTCATAATTTGGCTAAACTCTGGAAACAGTCATGTTTTAGGATGGCCCTGTCAAGGGGTAAGATTCAGTATTAGTGTTCCCATACCCCAGCAGAGGTTTTTGTTATTGTTGATGTAAAAGCAGTTTGATTAAGCTATTAGGAAGTAATTTAGAGGTTTTAACATGCACAGCTGGCCCCTTACACTGCTCTCCTCTATTCTCTCCTGTCCTGGGAGTATGTCACCTAAGCACACAGCAGCACAGGTCATTATCCAGCAATAACATATGTCTGGTCTAATTGGGAGCACTGGGAGAGTAACCTTCTATTCTGATGTTCTATTCTCTATTCTTAACACTGCGTTGTTCACCTATACTCTTACAAAAAGGGTTCCAAAAGGGTTCTTTGCGGAGGAATAGGGTTCTACCAAGAACCATTTTGATCAGAAGAACCCTTTTTGGAGGAATAGGGTTCTACCTAGAACCTTTAACATCCTAAGAACTGTTTTTGGAAGAAAGGGTTCTTTGATGATTCTTTGGAAGGCAAGCAGGATTCTTTGGAAGGCAAGAAGGGTTCTACATAGAACTATATATAATATTTCCCAGCATGTTCTATTGCAGTGAGATTTCAGAATTGTTAGTGTAATATCTGTGTTTTTTGCATTTACATTGGGATTGGTTAATACATTTTATGCTACACAAAGATAAATAACATACAGTTTTCTAAACTAATCCAATCTGTTGGATTTATTGCACCCGTTACTGAGCTGGTTGTTCCAGGTTAGATGATTGAGGTAATCTCAGTATTCAATATTCCCTACCCTGGCAGTCATACTGAATGCAGGTTGAGGGTGATTAACAATTCCACTTGTTGGATATCCTAACTCTGGCTGGATTCCAATAGGAAATACACATCACTTTGCAAGCCAGCATAATGTGACTTGCAGGCCTGATGTGGCCTGTAAACCAGGAGATTCCTAACACCACTGTGTTAGGGTATAACTAGGCCCTCAAAGAAAGGCCTTATGATATACACTATGTCATGTATTGCCATAGATAATAACATTTAAAGGCTAATAAGGCTGGTGGAACTGTTCATAGAGGGTTATAGGAAGAGCCACATACAGGGGGTTCTTTGAAGAACCCTACATAGAGGGTTCTAGATAGAACCCTCTGCAAAGGGTTCTACCCAGCACCAAAAAGGGTTCACCTATAGGGACAAACCGAAGACCCCTGTATGGTTCTACTTAGCATCTTTTTTTCGAAGAGTTTTCCAAAACAATCATCCTGTTCCACCAATACTCTTCTGCACCATACAATCCAGACAGTGAACATTTGTAATACAGTGTTGCTCCATTCTCAAAATTTGAATGTGTAATTTAGACTGCACAGCCTTTTGACTAATAGTCAAACTTAGAAGAAAGTCAACCAATACTGAAGGATCCTTGATAAAGGCTAAGGTGACGTTTGAATTTAATTTGCTAAACGCATCCTGGAAGCACTCTCTGGGGTACATCATGTAAAGGTGTTATTTCCCCATGTGTGTATCAAAATGTTTATATGAGTACAGGACTAATTAGAGAGCAAGCTCATGCATGTTCTTCTATGGGGATTCGATCATGTGTTCCAAGTCAGTGAGCAGAGGGTTTTTAATGTGTTTCCTCCAAAGACCAGACCTGTCCCCCCCTCCCTTCTAATTACTTTATTGATGTATTATTCATTGCAATGCCTCAAAGAGGTTGTCAAAAACTACAGACGACTGTTGAAAATCTCTAAAAGCTACCCTGTTCACCAAGTTATTTACTCTCCTGTCCTATTTCTCCTCCCACCCTACTTTTCGTATCCCCATCTCTCTCTGTGGGAGACATTATGTCTTATTAAAGACTAATGAGGAGGGGTAGAGGTGTACACTACTATGTATACACTCCTTGGAGTGGGATCCACTTACAGGAAGATATATTTTTTATTCAATTCTAATGTGTTTTTATGTCGCATGGTGCCTTGCTTCAGCAGCACTTTCATCTCTGACAGAGTGACAGTGAGGCGGTCCACATCAATGACATCAAACAGGCTCTTTGTCTCACTTGTTACGCATTTCATTACAAGCATCAATCTGAAAGTAAAACAAACACGGTGCTCATATATTATTTTTCAGTTTGGTGTAAATATTTTACTCCTAAGTCAGAACTTTTTTAATAGAGTACCACAGTATGAGTCATAATACCCATAAAACCTAGTGGTCAAACAAGGAAATGGTTCTAATGGTTTTTCCGCCATTCATTTTTCAAAAGGGGATTTTAGAAACACTTAAAATGAGGCCTGTGTTTTGTGTAGGCTTACCCTGGCGTGACGTTTTGATAGCCATGTAAATCTCTCTAGGACAAGGTGACTTTTATCAATATATTCGCCTGTATTTACCCCCCCCAAAATGAAATGCTAATTAGCTGCTAATGTGGCTATCATAAAGAACTACAAATGCCATGGTGATCTGGACGAGACTGCCGTATCGAGGCAAAGGTAAGAATCTCTGAATTAACTATGTAATGTTAGCCAAAATTAGTAATGAATAAATTGGCTACATTTCTTGGCAATTCTGTGAACTGTCTTGTGCAAGTTTAAAATTTACACAATACCTGTTAGCAATACCATTTCCAAATCTGAGAGTAAATAGAGACGAATATACTGATGAAAGTCACCTTGTCCGAGAGAGATTGAACGTTTATCAAAACGTCACACCAGGGTAAGCCTACACGAAACAGCCCTTATTTTAAGTGTTTCTAAAATTCCCTATGGGAAAAATGAATGGTGGAAAAACGATTGGAACCATTTCCCTGTTTGACCGCTAGGTTTTATGTGTATTATGAC